ATTTTTTCTTACAGTCATCACTAAAACATGTGTCAGTGCATGGAAATGAGATCTTGATTATTTAAAGATATAACACTAAAGTAAAAGAATTGGGGAGAAGTTCACGTATTTATAATGTCATGTGAAGAAGCAGACTTATGTTTCTAAAACCTTTTGTTTTGTCAAAGCCAATAAATCGTTACATTCCCACCTAAAGAGAGGCGATGACATCTCTCTCTCACACACACACACACACACACACACACACACGTCTGATCAGCTATCCTTGTGGGGACTCTCCATAGGCATAATGGTTTTTATACTGTACAAACTGTATTTTCTATTGCCCTACACCTAAACCTACCCCTCACAGGAAACTTTCTGCATTTTTAGATTTTCAAAAAACTTCATTCTGTATGATTTATAAGCTTTTGTACCCGTGGGGACCACAATTTAGGTCCCCACCGTTACACGAGTCCCCATGAGTCTGTGTGTAGTCAGGTTCAAGTCCCCATCAGAATAGAAAAACAGGTACACACACACACACCTTAAAATAATGTCCGAAAGAAAGTCACTCAGGCTTCTTGTTACATTTAGATTAATTTCAATAAAGTTTACGCGGATGTATTTAGCCTACATTACATTAGTCTACATTGTGTAAAGATATATTACACAATTTCCACTAGAAAAGCTTCCACATAAGGGTTGTTAACGCTGATAACAGAATACTCAATCATACCATTGCCATCTTGTGGTAAAAACAGACAAAAGCTGTTGTTAAAGAAATGCTTTGACTGTTTCTACATAACATCGAAACAGAAAGCCCACAATAGCCTAATCAGAAGGATAGCCTATCCCTTACGAAAATTAACCAAACATGGTTTTACTACCAAAAAATGGTTAATTTAGTTAATCCATGGCAACCACCAAATAAACTATGGTATTGCGACACTAACCATAGTTTAACCTTTAGTATTTGTAGTAAAACTGTTCTTATACAAATGGTCATTAATCTGCCGAGAGAAAAAAAAACGGTTATATGTGATGACGCGTGTACCTCAGTCATTCCCTACATTAAGGATAGTAACATAGTAAATGTTGTCCTTGTGGGGACACTTTCTTTGGTCCCCATGAGGAAACAGACTATAAATCATACAGATTATTATTATTATTTTTCAATCTAAAATAGCTATCTATAGCAATCTATGGAATGTCCCCATAGAAAATGGAAACCAGTGTGTGTGTGTGTGTGTGTGTCTTCACAATTTTACTGATTTTTATAAATAAATGAATTGATAATTTAACATAAGTGTAAATGACACTAAAAAAACAGCACTTGTTAATCGAGTAAAAATTGAAACATGACAAATACATCCAGCGAACACATTTCACAGTAATGGCAAACAAAAAGGGTAAACGTGAAAATCAATGTGTTTTACAGAAGGAGAGAGCAGGAGCGAGATGAAGGGGTGTAATTAAATGGTCATATAATTGGATCTGGAGAACAAGCAATGAAGCAGCTTGTTAACTTGTTACTGTTACCCCGTGAGAGCAAGCCAGCGTGCCTGAGCCTGCCATTAGCAGAATGTTGTTCTCACATTCTATAGGGACGCAATCAAAAAACAGCACGAAAAGGAAACAGTGAGGAACACCTTGAGCGTTTCTCTTCCCGAGAATGATATTCACTGAGAAAGGAGCACATGGGTCAAACAGAACAGGACTTGTTCTTAGTTACGACGTTCAGATTTGATTAAAATGTGTGTATGAATCAACTATAGTCAAAACGAGTATAAATGCTCTTTAGCAGATTGGAGGTCATGTCTTTCCTGTGAATGTTTTATAAATGGAGCCCTCAGAGGCATGTTTGATGTTCAGGATGAATGCTCTTCTACCTTTGATGTTCAGTTGAATTTCAAGCCACTGTAACTTTGAAAATCCACACACTAAGGGTCCGACCCATCAAGTGACACTGACAAAGATGGATGGGGCTCCGAAATCCAAATTCAGAAGGATCCCCGAACCTATAATTCACTTTTGAGGTCTCTGCTCCTTCTTCATCACCTTTGTCATTCTTAACCTTTAAAAATACAAGCACTCTTAAAAGCATGTTAGTAAGAGTGATGACTAGTGAAACAAAAAAAGTGAGAAAGATGAAGAGAGGCGCGAGAGAACTAAAGAAAAAAAAATCTAGATTAAGAGAGAAAGAGCAAATGTTACAAAGAAAGACAAAATAATTGCAATCTAATGGTGGCAACACTGCAATTGAGGACATTACGCACAGGTCAGTCAATTACCCAGGTGTCCTTTCTGTAATTTCCCCCTCAGATTACACAAATCACCTGCTTTTGTGATAACAGGAAGTCATAATGTATGTTATATAATGTTCCGTTTGTAATGTTCTCTTCCAATATTTTAAACAAACAGAGCTACGTATAGTGAAACATATTACTGTATGTATGTAACAAGTGATATCCCAAAAATCACATGGTTTGATGGGAAGTGTAATATTAAGGTTGTTCAGAAGATGAAATCTAGTCATTTCAATACGAATTAACACAACCTGGAAATTCGCATTATGGCAAAACTGTGAGAATGATACTTTATGTAACTTTATGCTATTGACAGTGGAAAATGGACCAAATTTTGCTAATGTGACCACAAATTTAATTCTCAGTGTTTAGACTTACCATTTTTGAATAAACTGGTGATAAAACCTGCATTAAAAAAAGAGACTAGCATATCAGACTATACACAGAACTGTTGTGGTGAGTTGTGCTGGACACATTTTCTTTAGAAAATGCAAAATCGTACTATAATACATAAAGATATGACATTTTCTATAGCAAATCAGGCACAAGAATTTCAGCGCTTCAGGTAGAAAAGTAATTTTCCAGAAAATGGAAGAATGAAATTAGTTAAAAAAAATATATCTATACAAGTTTAGAGTATTTCTCTCCCGTTTAAACCAACAGTATTTGTTCTGAGAGTGTCTCAATTCAAGATGTTCCATATCAGAATGTCTTTGGTATTTATTGGTGGTTATAAAGGACAAAACCATCTACGAAGCTCAAGCACGTTAGTGTATGGAGTCAAACTGTTTAAGAGATCAAAAGTAGACCATCATTTTGTTTTGCTGCCATTTTGAAAGAATCCAATAAGAATGTTAAAGTGATTTTTCAAGCAGCGGTTCCCCATGTGGATTCGGATGGGTTTGAATGGAACTAAATTACCCCCAAACAGCCTTCCACTTAAGTAAGGACAAAGACAGCCCACGTCTGCTGGTCATCCCTGCGGTATTTTGAACACCGTAA